GAAAAACTCTATTAAGAAAGGAAACTGCAAAAAAAATATGAGAAAGCCTTTTGAAACCACATTAAATTGTACAAATTTAGGTGGTTTTGAATCTAGATATTTTTGATTTGTGAACAGCCAAGGCCATTCATTGTCCCATTATGGAGAACAATTTGGGCCTTCTCCAGGTGGGCTCTTACCTGTCCGCCCGAGCGCATCTATCTGGTTCCTCAGGGAGCCGCTGACTGAGGCAATCACGATCTGGTACTGTTCCCCGGCCTCCAGTCTGTGGAACGTGTGCTCAGAGATGTGCTTGGGGATAGTCTGAGACTCAACCTTTTGATTTTGCCTGAATGCTGACACTGTGTAGGAATCCACATCTCCCCCACCAGGAGTCCAGTTCACCGTTAGGCTATCTGTTGCCCCATTAGGAGAAATGTGAACATTTTTGACAGCACTAGGAACTAAAAGAGAAAAGATATTTAAAAGTCATAGGTTAGAGAATGAACTGTGGAAATTTCAACCAAAGTTTTTGTGCTTCTTATGTTCGGCATCTACTGAAAGAATACACATGGAAAAAATCTGGTATCAATTTGCCATCATCTTTCTCGGACTCTTCTGCCTAAGCTGAAGTCAGCGGGGAAGTTCAGAGGGACATCATGGCCAGTGAGTAGAAATGAACAATGCCAATAATAGAACCACGGGCTAGTTAGACTGTCTTGGTCTAAATCTTGGTTTTTATTTTCTAGCTGGGGAACTATAGACACATTACTTAACCTCTGTAAGTTTGTTTCCTCATCAGAAAATGGTAATGATAATAATAGTAACCAGCCCAAAGAGTCATGAGGCTTAAACAAAATGTATGTGTAAAGTGCTTTGCTGTGGTTTATGGGAAACTGTCAATAAACATTATCTATTATAGCAGTACTACTAATAGAGTTCCAAAGAAGTAATACCCAACTAACAGAGATATTTATACTTAATCTGTATGCCTCACAGCACCAGTTATTCACATCGATTCAACAGTATTTCTCAGAAAGCTTTTCTTCTTCTCCTACTTCATACTTTATTTTTGTTAATCCATCTTAGACAACATCGTTGTCACTATCAAGATAACCTTCTCTCTTCTTGCCATCTCCCTTTTATGCCTCCAAATCCTCCACCTAAGTGCCCAGCTACCCAACCTGCTAAATACAGTTGACCCTTGAACAACATGGGGGTTAGGGGTATGGACCCCTGCCTTTCTGCAGTTGAAAATGCACATATAATTTCTGACTTCCCCAAAACTTAACTACTAATAGCCTACTATTGACCAGGAGCCTTACCAATAACATAAACAGTTGATTAAAGCGTATTTTGTTATAGTATTATATACTATAGTCTTACAATAAAATAAGCTAGAGAAAAGAAAATGTAACTAAGAAAATACATTTAAGTACTATACTGTATTTATCGATACCACACGTTTACATTGTCTGTTTACAAGATGAAGTCTCTGTCAGTACCGTATTTTGCCGTGTATGATGCCCTCCTGTGCATAATAAGGCACCCACAATTTTGGCCCAAACTTTCAGGGAAAAAAAATCTTTTGTTTTAGTATTTTAATTCAAATTTTTATTTATTTACATTTAAGTACGTGTTTTTTGTATTATAAAGGAATTTTAGCATTTATTTTTTAACATATTATGGTACGAGAAATTTTATTAACAAATAATTACAAAACACAAGAACAGATACAAGTTACAAGAAATTTTATGTACCAGTAACAAATTTATGATATTTACTCATCATAGAAGGCCAAGAACTCTTAGTCGTTGCAAGTTCATCGTAAGTTTAACAAAACTGATTATCGTATTCTGGGAAACTATTTTGCATTTGGAAATCATTATTGATTTCTAGAGTTACACTTTTAACTCATAAGCATAAAAGAATTAGAAACATTTATATAGATATGGAATTAATACTACCCACGCATAATGTGCATCCTTATTTTTCCCTCACAAATTTGGCCAAAAAAGTGTGCATTATACATGGCAAAACATGGTATCTACATCACTATTGTCTTATATGACACAAAACACTCAATATTATCCATATTATTAACACTAGACATCAAAAATGAAAAGATAATGTAAAAAAAGAAATTCATAGTTATTTACGGGTATAATGATTCACACATTGATAATGAAGAAGCAGCAAATACAATTGTTTTATGGTAGCCTAGTGTAATCTATACAATTGCTTCACAGTAGTAAGAAAATCACCAAACTTTTTTCCAATACATTTACTGAAAAAAATCTGCATGTAAGTGGACCTGAGCAGTTCAAACCCATGTTGTTCAAGGACCAACTGTACACCACTATAATTAGTCAGATTCAAGAGCCATATTTCCAATTACCGGTGAAGCCCTCAATGAAGGCTGACTGCTGTACATCTCCACTGATGGTCAAGACAAGAATTTTATACTGACGCCCTGGTGTTAGGGAGGTGAATCGATACTCAGTTGCGGTATTTACAAGGTGAAAAGGAGGAAATACTTTCATGTCATTGAAGAGCAGTTGAATCTCATACTGGTCGACATCACCATCAGCTCGTGACCAAGTCACGTGAAGATCCTCAGTACTCTTATTCCGCAATGTTAGATCCTTAACGGGCTCTGGGACTAGGGAGCAATGTTAGAAGACACTTCAGGAAAGTGACCGATCAGAGTTTACCTACACAATCTTTATAAATCACATCCAAGGAACTGGCATACATCTCCCTTCCCCAAATAAACCACTTGAACTACTTCATGCATAATTAAACAAGAGAAGTTGGAAGCAACTGTTGAAATTGTAATTTTTTTTCCTGACATAAATCTTACATGCTAAATGTTGGTAGAATATAATTATAAAATGAGCTATGATATCGATCATAAAATAAAACAAAAAGTCTAGAACTTTAAATGTCACAATGCAGGAGGACAGGGAAGAAAAATGGGACATTTGGCCTTCTTGCTCACCCACTATGCTTGCTTTTATCGCCCAATAAATATTCTGTAATTATAGGCCATGGTTTGGATGTTAGCTCCAAGTAACACTTACTGGGAATATAATTTACTGATAAGTATTTACTCGATGACCTTCAAGTCCCAACCAACCATCAAATTTTGCAATCTTTCCACTTACTTGTTCTCCCATTCCCTTGTTCACTGGCTTCATACTGTCCACTTTTTGTACTAACAGTGACACTGTACAACCGTCCAGGGACTAGCTTAACAAATATACACTCATTTTCAGACTTGGGAATGCTTTTCGTTTGAATGAAGTTGTTTTTGTTTTTAATGGTGACTTCATAGTGATCAAAGTCTCCAGTGGCATGCACCCAGGATACCTTTAAATAGTCACTCCTGGCCGAGTTGCTAATACTGACTCCCTGGACCTTGTCAGGCACTGAAAAAGAGAACAGAGAACGGTTAAAAGATTTACTGATTTTTAGTGAGCAACTGATCACAGATGACAACCTGGGACAATTAGAGAAAATGAGAAGAGATCTATTGTATGCATTTAAGAGAAAAATCTTAGATGTTTAGATCACAAATTTCTGGAGGGGAAAGACTGTTACACTAGTTGGAGTGATTAAATGGATCTTTTTTAACAGAACCTGAGGAATTATTTCTAATCCTGTTGTTAGCCTACACAAAATGTCATGTACAAAATGGAACATTAAACATGATAACTTATGATTATTAGGAATGATGGCAATGATATTAATAATTCCAGGATACCTTGGTGATTCAAGACATGATAAAACATCACCAAGAAGAGCATAAACAATCCAAAAGGAACATAGAAGAAGAGAAAGCACATATGGTTAATTGATGTCCAACATCACTGGTGATCAAGGAAATTTAAGTCAGGGTCATGGCAAAATATCAGTTTACATCCATTTGGCAAAATTTAAAAACCTGATAAAACTAAATGTGAGAGACAATACTCATCCACAGGAGACTGTATGAATGAACTGATATATAGCAGCCATAATTAATTTCTTCTTAACTCAAAACACAAAAATGTGGATTTCTTGCCCTTAGCATTAAAACACAAAATGTGAATGAATCTTATCAATATACTCTTAAGTGAAAAATCTAAGTCCCAAAAGATTACATACTGCATAAAAAATGCCTTTTAAAATAATGTTAAAGCAACTAAAAATGTAAAAACCCATAATTTTAGGACTATATAAATAATAAAATATGCAAGATGGAAAGCAAGACAGATGAAAATAGAAGTCAAGTTGATGGTTACCTTGTGCTGGATTAGTGAGGTGGGAATCACGTGATTTGACATAGATTATTGCCAAGTTCCTAGTATTTATTTTGGTAGTTCCTTCTCATGTACACATTAAACTATTAAAAATTATTAATTGTCCAAATTAAATAAAATTAAGTGCCTAAATAAATAAATAAAAGTAGTAACTGATGCACGGCTCCCTCAATCAAGAATTTTGTGCAACTGTTTTGTGCACCAGTTTTGTGCACCTGAGGTTCCCCCCATAAATATATAAACAAATAAACCATTCTATGTATCCATGTTTTTTTCTCAATTTATCAATTGATCAGTCAATAAATAAATGCTCGTTAACAGGGACATTTTAAAATAAGGCAATTCTGTATTTAGAGGATAATCTTCAGGATACTCTAATTTTTCATTTGGGGCTGTATTTTAATTCAATAGTAGACCATAGATTCATTATTATTTGGCTCTAAGTGAATATTATCAATATTAATAAGAAAGCATTGGAAGGAGGTATGAACTTGGATTCAGGGTACTAAATTTCTATCCCAACATTAGTGTGTCCTCTAGGCCTGTGTGGCCTCTGTCTGTGTTTTTTATATGTTCAAGGACTTCTGCTCTGATCACATCCCAAGCCTATGTCCAAGCCTTGTCATCCACTTGCCCCCTAAACATGAAATGACTCAGAAATGCCAATATTTTGGCCTCTAAGCTACATTTTCCAATGATGCTTCTCACACCTACGAATTGTGTTACTTTCCTTTGTTGACTTATGCGTACTGGTTAGTTTTTGTATTAGAATAAATCTCACCACAGATATGCAAGGACAGGTATGCTTTCTTTAAGATATTTACCTGGAAACAATTGCAATGTTGCTAGAATTTAGTCATTACAGAGTTAAGGAGAAGAAATTCTGAAGTGACACTGTCTGCATGGGCTAAGAAAGGTAAATGATCCAAGCAATTTACTGAAGGCAAAGCAATTACTACAGGAAGGAACACCAGGCTGAATACCATGCTAAGTCAATAAGGGGCTCTCCAGGTGGAACTGGAGGTAATTTGTAAGACTGTCTTGCTACACGGTGAGATGATGTGATACAGAATTAGAAATATTGATAGTTTCACCCAAAATGTAGAACAAGAACATTAGAAAAGGAAAAGGGCATTGAGACAATCAGCCCAAATCAACAAGAGGACAACTCAGACACAACTCCCCAGGTAAACTGATTTGTCAGGGGTAATGGTTTGCCTTAATTAGTCATGTGCCAAATTCAGGTTCATGCTGGTAGAGTCAAGATGGTGTTTTGAAAAAAGTATCACTTTTCTTGCCTTTAAAAATAATCTTAGCAAAAGTGCTTGCAATATGAAGGTCATATGGATAGGAAACATTCATGAATTTACTCCAAAGGGAAGCAAGGAGTTAGTGGTTGGATGACATATCTTTTAATTTTAGGCTCCAAGTTGATCAACATAAAACACTGAAATAAGGCTGTTCTGTAAATGGAAATCTGCTTTTCAGTCATTTTTGTGCTTGTCAATATAATTACACTTTAGACCATTTGACGGTAGGGAGTATCTATCTCTATATCCCTGACTAGTGTTTTCAGGGATAGCATGCTGTAATGGGAATAGCACTGGGGCTAAGTTGAGCTTGATTGCTGGTCAACCATGTGATCTCAGATAAATCAGTTTCTCTCTGGGGCTTTATGTTTAAGTGAGGGTGAGATTAGATTATTCTACTGACACTTTAAATGCAGCATGATGTAACAATGTCAATCAGTGGTTCTTGAACCTTTTTCAAGTCACAGATACTATGAGAATCTGATGAAAACCATGCACTCTCTCTCCCACCCAATGTACATACCTTCCATATCCCCAACAACTTTATGAACAATGTCAGGGATTACTACATTCCTAAAGTTGGCCCACAGAGGACAAGGCAAAAAACACTAATCTAAAGTGATGCCTGATTTCTCATCATCAAACATTTACTGAGTGCCGATTAGGCTCCAGACACTGTGCTAGGTAATAGGATGATGTTAATTGTCCCAGATCTTCATGGGAAACTGACATTTTTAAATGCAAATATCAACACATAGCTCAGCAGGAAAGATTTGACAAAATATTAATGTCAACTTTAAGCAGAAATCTTCTATGTCAACTCCAGGAAACCTAAGTACATACATTAGGGGAGCGCTGGGGCTCTAAATTTAGTTCTTTCCTGCACAGGGTAGACCTGGCGCTCATTGCTTTTGCTAAGACTTGGTTCCTGGTCCCAGAACTATGAAGGTTCACATTTTCACCTTGAGTGAAAAAACGAGGAGCAGGGATCTTGACCAACAGACATTTCAGGAAGGATTTCAGGACACAGAACTTCTTAGGCTTTGCCATCATTTAGAACTGGGTTTCAATCTAGGATCTGAAATGCACTGTCAACAAGTTAAATAGTTGGGCAAGTGACTTAAACTTCCTGAGCCTTGGTTTCCTGACCTGTAAAATGGGATGATATCAACAACTACCTCAATTGGCATTTGTAAGGTTTACCATATGGAAAGCCAGGGTCTAGCAACCAAAAAGTACTCCCTAAACAGAAATACTTATTACTGTGTTTGAAGGTCATATGAGTTGCAGCCATGAGTGGTGCTCATCTTACTCTGAAGGTAACATCTGCTCACATAAAGAGCTTCTTGGGTCAAATTAAGAAGACTCCACAATAATTCTGTGATCTCAATGGCTTTTGAACTTATCATTACAGAATTGTTGCAGATGTATGATGCCCCGAGCCACATAGCCAGCTGGCTCTTACAGAGCTTGAACCTCCTGATAGGCTTACCTGTCCGCTCTTGGCTGATGGAATGATTTTCATACTTGCCACTCCTTGTAGTTATGGTCACATTGTAAAGGCGGCCTGGGGTGAGGGAGCTGAAGGAACATTCGCTGACAGACTTGGCAATAATGAGGGACTGAACCACCTTGCTGTCATGAGAGAGCGTCACTACGTAGTTATCCACATCTCCGGGAGCTGGCAGCCAGGATACGCTGAGGTAGTCATTACGGCCAGAGTTGTTTACCGTTACTCCACTCACACTGGAAGGGACTGTGATTTTAAAAAGGGGGAGAATATTTTTTAAAAGAAAAGCACAGTGAAAAGTTTGAGTCATCCATCATCGTCAGCAAAAACAGTGTTGACTCAGGAGATCTAATCTGATTACCTAAGAGGTCAGGGAATTGCTGTGGAAGCTGAGTCTTCTTAGAGCAGAAGGATACCCAAAATAAAAATGCAAGGCGGCCTTTTGGATGCTTCATAAATACAAGGATGCCTCTACTGCATTTTTACGGTGTTGCTGTTCATCAAGTATGTTAAGTGGAGGCATTCTTAAGTAAATGTGTCTTTAGGTTCCTTTTGTAGGAAAGGGAGCAAACATAACAATCCAAATGAATTGGTTGGAATCAAACTCATCAGTAAAGCATGGGTGTTTGAGAGACACAGTGAAGAATGCAATAGCTTTTCTAAACAGCTTAGATTTTGAGATAGCTTTGATCTTCTTGTTGATGAAGTTATTTATTTCTAATAACTAACACAACTACAGTGGTTGAGTTTTCCCTTTGCAAAGCATTTCCTGCCCTCTAGTGGCAAAAAATAAAGTCAAACACTTAATCCTGGAAGCACCGTCTGGTGGTGATTGGACCAACTGTGGGCAGAGAGAACTATTGTGGAGAGAATGGGCTTTCTGATGTCAACCATATCGTTTGCTTATTTTAATTGGGGGTTAGTGCCACAGACATTTACTGAGAACCTACTTTTTGCCAAGTATACAAAATGAAAAAAATGTGGATGCCTTTAAGGAGCTCCCTGGCTATAAGTAGCCTGCAAATTACTCACTGGGGTATTGAGTAAGAGTCGTACTGTGTATCAGAAATAAGCACACAGTAAATAGTACTGTCAATAGTGTATCATATAATCCTACAGTATATATGAACTGCACTATTGTTTTCATCATTAATTGATTAACTTCAGCTAAATATTTTCATATTGTTGTCAATATTAATACATCACATATAATGGATGGGATTTGGCTAGATGACCTCTGAGAATCCTTCTAATCTAATATGCTCTGACTTTGTGATTTAAGCCCCAAAGTTTCTTTACCCTTACAAGCACTTATCCATCACTAAAAATTATAAACAGCACCCTACTGAACAGCTCTGCTAATGCTGTTCCATGTATATGGACATTTGCTAGATATAAAGTTGAACTTCTAGCCATAATATTTATGCAATGATCCCTCCCTCCCTTCCTTTCTTCATCCATTTAACCATCTGTACATCCCTTCTATGCTCTCAAAAGAATTATGTTTGTTTTTTAAAACTGCTAGAAATATTTGCAACTATTAACATTTTATTAGAAAAGATACAATTATCAAAAGTTTTGCCAAAAATATAAATTCACATTTAAGAAAAAATAGATATATTGGGTTGTCGGAAAAGTCATGACATATTTTTTTCTATGTTTTTTGTTGCAAAAATGCGTCATGACTTTTCCGACAATCCAATAAAATTTGTTTTTCCTTTAGAATGAGCATTTTCTCAGGTTAGAGTTAGATTTGTTAAGCATATCTTATATCTTTAATTTAAAATATTTTTCCACCTCCTCTAGGCTGGGAGGGCTTATATGTTTGAACTCTGTGGAAATATAAATGAATGAGAAACCTTTCAAAATTATTTCAGCATTGACCAATATTTCAGCAATTTGAGTAGATGGTGATCATTATCAAGGCTTTAGCCAATAAATTTTTTACAATATAATGTGTACAAAATTTATTAATACAAGCACCTCTCAAATAGTATCCCATTTTTTCTTTCTCATGATAATGTCTGCACTCAATGTGTTTGAGTCAAATAACTCATGTTTCTGTTTATTCATATTGCCCTGTTCCTCAAAACTTTACTATCATTCTTCAAAGAATTTCTTGTCTCCTTTTTTTTTTTTTTTGCACAATTTTGTCATAGAATGTGGGTCAAATACTGATCTCTCTGTTAAAATACAGGTATAAAAATAATTACAAGTCCAACTTATTTCAAATGATGCAGGTACCAAGTTATTTTAGTACATCCTAGTAAGCTGGACAGCCTTTGTGTTTTAAAATCGGAATTAACTTGTATGGCAGAGTCTGACTAGTTGTTCACCAAACCATTTCCTTTTCACACAGTTAGGCTATATTTTGCAGCCTCTCCTCCAGTTAAAGTGTAGCCACATATGTGTGGTCTTGCCGGTGGAATGGGGGTGGAAGTGATGTATCTACTTCCAGGTCTGGTAATCTTCCTTTTCCCCATTACCACTATTTTCTGGAGAAATGGAGAGAGAGTTCTGAGGGTCTAGAAGAAGGGAGAGCCAACCAATAGAGTTGTCCAATCAGGAACAACCACATTGTACAATTACGTAAGCAGGAAGTACTCAGTCTAATTTGACTAATACAACTGCAACTCACTGGGACATAAATGAATACAAGGTCCTCCTCAACTCCTTTCCTCAATTTTCTTATTTCTCGTCGCTACTCTGACACCCAGTGTTGGGGTGGAATATTGGGAATAGACTAAAAAATGGAGGCTTAGAGAAATAAGTTAATGGCAGAACTAGGACCAGTATTTAGGCTTCCTGATTCCTAAGCTAAGCTTTTCAGTTCCCCACCCCAATTATGTTACATCGATCAATGGTGTCAAGAACCACTAAAAGAGAAGAAAGAATCAGGAAAAATGAGGCAGGCCACAGTGTCAGTTGCCACAAAATGAAAAAAAAAGGGATTATATCAGTGAATTTCTACCAAAATTACAAAATATCCTTTTAGTGACTTAGTTACTCTTCTGGGAGAGTTAATGAAGTTTATGTTCCTTGGGTTCATTAGGTAGATGAGACTCATGATTTAATAAGTAGATGAGACTCATGATTTAAAAAAGAGACATATCTATGATGCCTGCAGCTGATACGCAGAATCTGAGCATTAAAGATACAGAAGGAGGAGCCTGAAATCCAACTTAATGTAATGATATAAAATTAAGTAGGCAAAGTCACTGACCTGATTCTGAGTTCATTAAAAAATATCAAAGCTTCTGTTGGACTTATTTATTTTTCTTTCTAAAAAACTAGATGATAAATTTTTATATTGTTTATTTATGTTCTTCCTTTGCATTATGTATAAATTATATTTCCTTTTTTGGTGCCATGCCTCTGTCTGACACATATGACCATAGGACAATTATTTGTTTACTTAGCTCTCTGCCCTATTTAATTAAGGTCAAGAAACATTGTTTAGGTGGTGTACAATATTAAGCACTTGTTTAATGTTGCTCATGAAAATACATGTGATTTGGGAATTTTATTAGCTCAATTTGTGACCATAGAAGTTGGAGATCAGAGGTAATCACTTTACAAATTATATAAATGTCTAACCAATATGCTGTACACCTGAAACTAATATAAAATAATACTGAATGTCAACTACCATTTAAAGAAATAGTCACAGGGATATAAAGTACAGCATAGGAAATATAGTCAATAATATTATAATAACTATGTACAGTGTCAGGTGGGTAATACTCACTTTGTCATGTATATAAATGTCTAATCATTATGTTGTTTTGTATACCTGAAACTAATAAAAAAAATGAAGCTGGCAACCATTTTGTTTCTGTCTTGAAACAGGACTATGAAAGAGAGTGGACTATACTTTTTTTAAAAGTCTCTTTACTTGTTTATCTTAACTGGGACATAAGTATTTCAAAGTAAATCAACTGAATGAGGGGATAAGATTAGGCATCAATGACTATCATGTCATCACAAAGGTTTTTCTAGGGGTTGTGATATACATATTGGAGATTTTAGAAAATTCGGAATTCATTCTCTCCTACCCTCATCCACCCCATAAGGTCCATTCCTGGGAGAGCAACATGTATCATCTGGATGGTACTGAGACTTGGCTTTCAAGAAGGTGGGAGATAAACCTGTTTATAGAATGTTTTAAAACTAGAACCCGGGAGGATCCAGGTGCTCTTCTTACCCGTCCTTCCTTCCGCGACCACTTGTCGGGAAGAGATCCCTCCGCTTACAGTCGTCACCACCACGGAGTAGAAACTGCCTGATTTGAGGGAGTGGAAGCTGTATCTGCTGGTCTCACTGGAGACACTTTCATTTTTGATGACCACATTTTCATGGATGAGTAAGACTTGGTAGAACTCTATGTCTCCCAGTGCCCGGGTCCAGGTAGTAAACAGGCTGCTGGTTGTCCCTTGGTTAGCCACCTGCAAGGCAGTCACTTGGGCAGGCACTGAAACACAGTAGACAGAAGAAAAAAACAGACACTTAGTCACCCTAAGGAAGTGGAACAAAAATGAGTCACCAATGAAGACAGTCTTGAAAATGCTAAATATATATGTTTTTATATTTTTGCTATATACCCTCAGCTCTATTTCCTGTGGCATATGGCAAATTATTCCCCAACAGAGACTCTACCATTATGAAAAAAAGCTGCCTATATGGTAAATCAAAATTATTTCAGATACAAGGATGAGATGACACATGCTTATTAAGTAGTTTTGATTTAAAATTTTCAATGAAAGGCTGCTATTTTTGA